GTTTCTTATGTTTTCTCTTCAAGAGAAAAGGGGGGTAGCTTCTTTTGGAGGTAGCTTATTTTCGGAAACATACGGTAGTAACCTGGCCACACAGCTTTTTTTTTATAGTCAAATTTTTTTAATAAGATCGTATACTGTAACTCTTTTAAGTAAAAAAAAATTGAGAACTCTATAGATCATGAGAAATCAGAAAAAACTTTATAGTTTAGCTAGGTGTTTGAATTGCTTTTACATATTATTATAGTATAATTTTAATGCAATTCTCAAATTTTATGATTTCATATTATAATTTATAGTAAAACAGTAGACCTTTGTACAGTATTAATTACAAGAAATTGTTTGATGCTTATTTGTCTTTGCATATTTTGTGGTGTTATTGGTTCAAATTTTTTGAATACATTTCCGATTATGCATAAAATTTTATTACTTCACAATTAAGTAGCTGTATTTTTTGTTTAATTCATTCTACTTGTAATTAACAATTTATATTGTCTTTCATTAAGATGCATTCTATATTATATTATTTATTTATTATTTTATCTATCATGGAACTACCATATTAATTAGGAGTTAATTTTGCATCAGAATTATCATAATTTCTATCGTGATCACAAAATGTTGATAAATTTAGATAGTTTGTATTAAATTAACATGATTTTTATCTGAAAATTCTGTTACAATACTTACTTGTTTTTCTAGTAACCACAATATGTAGTTAAAGTAAGTTAGTTTGTATCAGAATTATCGTAATTTCTATTGTGAATTGCTGTCATTAATTTTGTACATTACTTAACTTGCTATTCGGGTAACTACAATATTAAGTTAAATTAAATTAGTTTATATTGGAATTATCATTATTTTTTATTTTGAATTGCAGTAGAAAAAATTTCCTTTATGGAACTTACTTAACATCGGTTGGGAAAGCAAGAGTGAGTGTTAATCCAATTTAGCTCTGATGGTTAACTTATGTCAGATTTATAACACTTGTACACGTGATATAATGTCACGAAACTCAATCTGAGCTGGGGTTATTACTTAATAATAGATTAACTTTATAGATTTATTATGTAACAATAAGAAATGCAAGATAACAATAAAGAAATGATGATAAAATAATATAAAAAAATATATCTAAACTACACATGTGAGAATCCAATTCTTATTATAAACTCTATAACTAAAGACATCGTACATTCTAAATCATAAGGGAAACTTATAGTCTTTTGAGACATTGTCTAAAGAAACTTTCTCAAGGCAAAAATTCATAGCTTAAATACATTTTAATTTACTGTGCTATCTTTAATCTCAACCTTATCTTTTTAGCTTTCAGTTTTCAGGTTGTGAACAATCTGCATTAATATAACCACCAAATATTGCTCACAATCATTATTTCAATTATTTCTTACAATAATTGTACTACTCTATTTAAAATTTATCATAAGTTAGAAGTAACCAACCACTAGGATTAATCTATGTCTCTGAGCCTTCATCCACCACCTAGAAGGCTCACAATATTATTGTGGCTCGGATAATTCAGGCTTTTAGTACATCTAGTTTATGGGCTTAAACTTCAGCCCAGAATCTCAAGGCCACGGGTTTAAATTGTGGCACTATTCTAGTGATCATAATTATGGCATTGTCTTGATATTATAGCGTTGTTGTGATTACTGTAAATAATTCTGTTGCAATACTTATTCACTATTCTAGTAACTATGAACTATGAAAAGTGATTAAGGTGAGTTAGTTTGCGTTGATATTAATATGATTTATTCATAAGTTGCTGAAAAAATTCTGATGCAGAACTTGTTTGCTATTCTGATTAAATAAGTTTATATTAGAATTATCATGATTTTTATAGTAAACAGAATTCTGTTACAGAATTTACTCATTATTTCAGTGACTTTAATTTCAGTTAAGCTTAAGTTAGTTTGCAATAAATTTTTATTGGGTTACTGTAAATAATTCTTTAATAGAACATACTATTCCGGTAACCACAATATTGGTTAAGGTGAATTAATTTGCATTGAAATTAATATTATTTATTCATAAATTACTAAAAGAATTCTGTTACAGGACTTACTACTATTCTGATTAAGATGAGTCTACATTGGAATCATGTTTTCTATCGCGAGTTAATGTAAATAAAATTCTGCTGCAGAACTTATTATTCTGGTAAACATAATATGTAGTTAAGCTTGAGTTAGTCTATATTAAAATTTTCATGATTCCTATCATGAGTTACTGTAAACAATTCTGTTATAGAACTTGTTATTCTGGTAACTACGATATGTGGTTAATTTGCATTAAAATTGTTATTATTTCTATCGTGAGTTACTGCAAATAATTTTGTCACAAACTTACTCAACATTCTAATAATTATTATATATGGTTAAAATGTGATAGTTTCATTGGAATTGTCACAATTTCTATTATAAGTCACCAAAAATTCTATTACAAACTTACTAGCTATTCCAGTGATCTGTTAAAAATTTAGGTTAGTTTGCAATGGGATTGTTGCGATTTCTAACTTACTCGTGAATCTGGTAATCACAATAATTGTTTAAGGTGAGTTGGTTTGCATTTTAATATGATTTGTTCATGAGCTATTAAAAAAATTCTGTTATAGGATTTATTTGCTATTCTGAAAAATATGTATTAGAATTATTATGATTTCTAGTGCAAGCTATAGCAAACAAAATCCTGTTACAGAATTTATTCACTATTTTAGTGACCACAATATGTGGTTAAGATGATCTAGTTTGAATTGAAATTTCTATCATGTGCTGCTGAAAAATTCTATTAAAAACTTTTTCGCTATTTTGATAACACAATATGTAGTGCGTTAGTTTATATCAGAATTATCATAATTTCTAAGGTGAGTATTATTGTAAAAATTCTGTTACCGAACTTACTCACTATTTCAGTGATTTTTATTGTTAATACTCTGTTGCAAAGCCTATTATTTTTTTTGATACAGCATGCAGTTCACTAATGCATGTTATTAGCATTACAGTTAATACTATCAAATATATATATGGGGGTGAGTCAATAGAAACACACCAAATCTTTTTTAATGAAATTTTTTTAAATTTTAAACAAATATAACTCAACAAAAACTTGAACAAATCTAGTAAAATTTTTTTAATTATTTTCTATAAGTAATTAGAATTATTTTAAAAAAATTTTTATTAAATTTGATTAAGTTATTGTTAAGTTATTTTTGTTCGAAGTTTTAAAAAAATTTACTTAGAAAAAATTTGGTGCGTTTCTATTGACTCACCCCCATATATAGAATGTATAATGCGCAAAAGTTAGTTTTTAAAAATCATAACTAGATGTTTGAGTTTTTGATTAGAGCTTGGATTCGGTTATCCGTTAGATACAAATTTAATAGCAAAAATTCATCGAATATCCGTTAAATAATATTAAAGGCTGACCAGATCCAATCTCTAGTTTGTAGAAGACTTAAATGTTATAGTTACCATCATGATTTCGATGATTCAACTAATTGACCAATCAATCAACGAATTAGCTGCATGATGGAGAATTTCTATTGGTTAGCTATATTAAAAAAAAATAAAAAATTTTAACCTCTACTTTACTGACCAGGCCAGGTTATAAAACTCAATTATATAATAGTGTGTGACCTTATTCTCTCATTGTGAAAAATAAACAGCATTTATTCACTTCTAATTTGATTTATTATTTTATTAGATAGTAAAAATAAGCTATATATTTCTTTATTTTGTATTAAATTAAATCTAAAATATGTAAAAATTTTTTGTATTAAGTTACTTATTTAGGTTAATTTAATTTAACCGGCAAGTATAAAATAGTTTGTTAATCAAAGTATTCAAAAAAAATCTTATTAGTTTTATTTATTATTTGTACTGAATTAATCGATAAACAATATTTATTCTAGTTGATTTAGTTAATATTATTTATTAATTGAATATTTATTTTATCTATTATTAATTTCTTATTTATAATTCTTATAACTTGATTTTCAGAAATTTATGTCTTATCTAAACTCCAAGTTGTATAATGCTTTATATACTTATATTTATGCGTATACTGTATATATAAGCCTAGATTTCAGATTTAGTTTTAGGTTAAAATTAAGTAATTTAGATTTTAGAACTAGTTTATAAAGACAGTTCAGTTTATAAAATTTATATAGTAAATTCTACAGATTACATATACATATAACCAGACCGGATTAGGACTAAATATCCCTCTACGTATAGATAAGTGAAAATTAAAAATAATATATATAATGATAGCGATTGATTTACAAATTAATTATAAACGTATATATATATCTGATATATACTTATAAAATAATAAACTAGTTTGTATTAAAAAACCAGGCTATCCAGTTTTTTTATTTGTACGTACGTAGAATTTTAAATTTTGAATTTTAAATATATACCGATACTGATATCATTATATATTAATCACTTTTAATAATATATGTATATATATAGCAAGCAATATAATTTTATTAATAAAATATATATATATAGCATTGTACGTAAATTAGCTATCGCTATAGAAAAGAATACATACAGTATATGTAATAGTAACAAATTAATTATATGCTATTGCTATCAGTACTATTAACTGAAAACTCGCTAGATTCGCTAGTCTCACTAGTCATACTATTAGTATGACTTTCATTAGATTCATTATCATTGAATCCGCTCTTGCTGGAGAATTTTGACAATTCTCTACAGGTAAATTTGCATTTGTTGATGAATTTGCCGACGAAGTTGATGATTTTGCCGACAAATTTCCCAACGCCAAATTTTTCATACGTAGCTGATCAAATTTGTCATCTAAAAATAAAAAAAAATATAAAAAATAAAATAAAAATAAAAATAAATAAATAAATAAAAAATAAATAAACCTTGTCTTTTCCAGAAATGAGTTTTAAATTCATGATAATAGAGGTGTCCGTTTTTGGAAGCTTTGCCGTGTGGATTACCTTGAATATACAAGCTCATATTCTAAAATATATAGCATAAAAAAAAAAAATATATATATTAAGAATTATAGTAATTCATAATTAAAAGGCTTATTTTCGTCAAGTATATTACCTTGTAGTTCTTTACTAATGCATTAAATTTATCTTTGCAATTCGTTCCCAAATAGAAGGTTCCAAATTCATAATTAATATCCGTAGCTACGCTTTTCCAAAACAAGTATTTTTGACTTCCGCTCATATCGTGAAATTTTGAATTACTTTTTTTGCGTTTATCTATTAATGCACGAACATGAACTGTATTCCACATTTTGAAGGATTGAAATTAAATTAGATTAATTTTTTTTAAAAAAATTCTTTATATAATAAAATATTCGTCAATGTCATTATTGTTAAAAAAAAAATGCTTGTTTTTACCTACGATATCATTAGAAATTTTTTGTAATTGTCATTTTTGCGTAAATATGATTGAAATTGTTACATATATGTACGTATGTAATTTAATGCATACTTAACAATATAACAATAACACTATGTACGTACATATGTACGTATGTACATACATATTTATATACTTACATATATATATATATATATACGTAGCATGATATTTTAATATGTATGTATATACGTAGCAGGTGGGGTGGTCGGTCAACTAATTAAATCAAACATATATGTAGACCCATAATAAAAACAATTAGGCAATTTTTTAAT